TCTTATACTCTTCATGAGGACTGTGTCACGGTTCTCACCGCAGCAGACAGACAGCCAGACGTGGTCACCCAAGGAGTTCCCAACAAGGGATTTGAACCAGGGAACTTCGCAGTCCTGGTCCTGCTTCCTACCTCTAAGCCACAGCAGCTTTTGTATTCCACAAGTCAGTCCGGTCCTGTTCATCCTGGCATATCTATTACTCTGGGGGCTGTACCTTGACTTTGGCTGTGCTTCACCTGACCCTGATCAGACATTAGCAGGGTATTTAAACTCAGCCTCGCCCTGTGATCAGGATCAAATCTTTGATCCTGTTGTGTGTTTCGTACCAGTGTTCCTGTTGTTTTATCTACTACTTATTATTGACCCCGGCTTCTGTCTAAGTTTACTCTGACCTCTGGCATCCCTTGACTTCGCCTACTCCTCGTTGTTCCTGTCCTCTGGCATCCTTTGACCTCAGCTATCCCTTGACGATCCTGCTGTTTGAGTCCTTGCCTGTCCTGTGACTTGGTACTTCATCCTGCACAGCCCCCGTGCACAGACCCAGAGGCCGGGTGAATTCTTACCTGACCACCTTGGCCTGTGGCTATCTGCAAGGGTGAGCAACATATCTGCGCTACAGACTTCCAACCCAGGTAAGACCCTGACAGACTGCAAGTCACGGATTTCAGTTCCGAAAATTGACACAGCAGTCATTCACATGGCAAAAAGAACAACTCTTCCCATAGACTCCATGGGTTCGGCCTTGCATTTAGCGATAGCCCTAACATCTTTATCCAGAGCTTTTGGATTGAGAATCTGGAGGAAGAACATTTCTTCCCATAGACTCCATGGCATATATGAGAGAGCCAATGGAAAAATGCTTGACCACCAATCTTATAAGAGCCTATCTGGCTCTGGGTTCGGCCTTGCATTCAGCGATAGCCCTAACATCTTTATCCAGAGCTCTAAAAGTCTGGAGAGAATCTGGATGACTTTATTTGTATATTTTACTGAATATTTGCCACCCTGCATGTGGATACTCAATCTCTGCTATCCTTTGAAAGCCGGACACCACGCTGGTTGTGGAGATATGCCTCATTTTATCTGAAATCTTGTAAGTACAATATTGTGCAATAAATGTGTTACATTTTAATACCATCTGCACTATATATATATATATATATATATTTTCTTCCTCCTGATATTCTGAGCCACAAAGGAAACTATGTTGGAAGATAAGCCATCTACTTTCCTGACCCTATGTTGGGAGAAATGCCTGAATATACATCGATCTAGTGAGTTTTCTACCACCCCTACCCTGACATTTTACCCTTACATACTACACCATATGTATTTTTATTTACTTTACAAAATACGTTATATTGTTTTTCTAGGTTGTATAATATTTTTTTTTATTCACCTATTTGGTGTTTGGCTATTTGCCGCCAGTATCTATTTAGTCTACTTCAGTACCCTTTTTGTTTTTTTTTTCTTTTGTCTTTCCTTCATGCAGGTCTGGATAAAGGGCTGAGCCTAAGTACTCTAAAGGTTCAGTCATCAGCATTGTCCACCCTATGCAAAGTTTCATGGACATCAGATCCAAATCAGGCCAACGAACAGGAATTATTCTCCTTCTTGGGATTTGCCTATGGTGCTGGATGTTTTGTCAGAAGCACCTTTTGCTCCATTAGATGAGCTGGATATTGTCTTGCTAACTTATAAGACTCTGTTTCTAGTGGCTATAACCATAGAAAAACACGTCTGAAATTCATGCATTCTCCTGTGATTAGAACAATATTCAAGCTTTCCACTACAGGGTGGTCTTGAGAACTAGACAAGAATTTCTACCCAAGGTGGTCTCTAATTTCCACATTCTCCAGGAAATTGTTCTTCCTTCTTTTCATCCATCTTGTTCTTCTCCATCAGAAGTGAAACTTTATCATTTGGATGTCAAACAATGCCTGATCAAGTACCTAGTAGTGTCTCAACAATTTCAGAAATCCCAATACCTGTTTGTTCTTCTGATAGGGGATAGAAGAGGAGAAACAGTTTCTGCTTCCACTATGAGGCGTTGGATTCCGAACATAATAATCAAGGCTTATCAATTAAAAAACCTTACTCCTCTGAGTAGAATTAAGACTCACTCCACAAGGGCTTTGGCAACATCATGGGCTAACTGGGCAGAGGTTTCATCTGAGGACAGCTACATGGTCTTCCCCTATGATGTTCATAAAGCAATATAAATTGGATCTGACTTCACGTTCTACGGCCTTTGGTAGAGGTGTACTATCCTCTGTGGTGTCTCACTAATAAAATATGCTGCAGCATCGTCAGGTGTATGACTTTTTTTTTTCCATCCCTACAGTTGAACTTGGGTATTACCCATACGTGATGCTGCCATGATTAGCCAGGAATATAGAAAATGTTATCATTCTTACCGCAATTTTCTTTTCCTGACTATTATTTATGGCAACATCAGCAACCCTCCCTTATTTTGTTTTACAGCTTTTAAACTAGACTGTGGGGTAGAAGGAGGAGGAATCTTTTATGCCTTCAGTATTGTTCAGATTGGATTAATTTTTCCTGTTCTTGTTTTGGGGCGGAGCTGCCCATAAGTGATGCTGCCATGAATAATAGCCAGGAAACAAAATGTGCGGTAAGTATGATAACATTTTCTGTAAAAAAATAAAAATAAATATATATATATATATATATATATATATATATATAAACAAATAAAAGTAAAAAAAAAAGTAAAAAAAAATATAAAAAATAAATATATAGCTCCAGAGCTCCAATAGGTACAACATCCAACAAGAAAGGCTGCTCTCCAGACTTAAAATAAAAGTTTTATTGAAAAAAATTTAAAAATAGTGACCAACGTTTCTGTCCCCGATCAGGACCTTCCCCAGGGTCCTGTTATCTTTGACCCTGGGGAAGGTCACGATCAGGGACCGAAACGTTGGTCACTATTTTTACATTTTTTTTTAATAAAACTTTTATTTTAAGTCCGGAGAGCAGCCTTTCTTGTTGGATGTTATATATATGGATGTGTATGTGTGTGTGTGTGTGTGTGTGTGTATATATATATATATATATATATATATATATATATATATATATATATATATATATATATATATATATATATATATAAACAGTCCAGTAAAACCTTTGGATGAGAGAACAATCACAGTTCTATCTGAGGTAGAGACGTCTATAGAGTAGTGGGATAGAGGGGCTCGTGGGATCCGTATGAAAGAGAACAGAAAATGTAATAGTGCAATAAAACCCAAATAGGTAGCAGCCGATAAAAGAGGTCTATTTGGTCCTACTCACATTTTTAAGAGTATAAACAGCATACAGTCTTATAATCCCTACTAATGGGATACGTGAGGGAGTGTTGTAAGTAGATATCTCGTCAGATGGGGACCATATGTGATATAAAAAACAACAATAGTGCTCACTATGATAAAACCAGGAGAATGTATAAAAATAAAATGTTTACTCACATTTAATTGGGCAGACGCACTGCTCAATGATAGGGAGTAAGTGGTATAATCCCCATATAATAATAGAATACAATGTCAAATATAACCAAGACCCCCCCCCCCCTTTTATGCCAGTCATTTTTAATTTCAACAATAAAAGTAAAACTATTAAGAAAATTATCAACAAATACTGACACATTAAAAGACTTTATCCCAAAGAAATATTAAAAGACTTTATCCCAACGAAACATATTAAAAGGCTTTATCCCAACGAAACCCAATGTAATTTTTAGAGGAGCCCCTAATTTTAGATCTATTCTCACCAAACATTATACCAAATACCCTGCTGCTACCAATTCATCATTCCTATCCAAATTAAAAGGTTATTTTTTAAGTGTAATAGGTGAATTGTATGTAGAACAACAGATCCACACATTAAATCCAAAACCACACTTTATACTTCCAATAAAACTAATATTAATTATCCTATCAAAGACCTCATATGCTTTAACACCAAGAATGCTATCTACTACAGTTGAGCGGACACCTGGATGTTCTGCTCCGGCGGGTTCGGCCGAACTTCAGAAAAAAGTCCGGGTCTGGGCTCGAACTTGACCCTGAACCTGAACCCCATTGAAGTCAATGGGGACCCGAACTTTTGGGCATAAAAATGGCTCTAAAAAAGTCCTGGAAAGGGCTAGAGGGCTGCAAAAGGAAGTCAAATGGGGGTACGAGTAGGACAAGTGCCCTGCAAACAAATGTGGATAGGGAAATCACTTAAAATAACAGAAACTAGTGGGGAAGGCAGCAGATATTTACCGGGCTGTACCAGAAGAGCAGATCAGAGACTATCCCACAAATCCTTCTGGCCCGGTATGCGGTCACCCCCGAGGAATAGCACCGAAAGTTTAGGGAGAACCGGAAAGGGGAGAAGGACTCCCATGCGGAGTGGGCATGTTGTATCACAAGGGCCACCCAGAACTGGTTCGACTCCCATCAAGCCAAGTTCCCAAAAGAGATCACCCAGCTCGTCATGCTAGATCACTTTTTCAATTGGATCCCCAATGACATGGCTGGTGAGAGACCGCCAGCCCCCTGACCCAAGAAGTAGCTCACGATATCCCCATTGCAGGGCATTTAGGCAGGAGCCGAACAGCATCTCGGCTCAACCACAGCTTCTTCTGGCCAGGCATCTCTCAGGATCTGAGGCAGTACTGCCAGAGAGTGGGGAAGAGAAGTGACCAGCACAGGGCCCCCCTTCATCCCCTACCTATTAGTGGCATCGAAAGTGACATCCGAATGCAAAGTCGCCGTCACCGGGACGTGCGATTGGCCTGAGGTTCTCTAGCGTAACCAAAGCACAACTATAATGTCGACAGCTACTCTGCAGGGTTGAGGAGTGGGTGGAAGATGATGTGGAGGATGATGAGGTCCTAGACCCCACATGAAATCAAGGTCATGAGAGTGATATGTGCAGTATGTATTCACTGTAGCGTCTGTGCAGGCTAAAGAGTCCTGTATTGTTATTTGTCATCCCTACCTCCCCGTATCGGGAGTGGGTAATTTGCATGCTAGCTGCCTTCCTTGGATGTGGTAGTCATTTCTCAGGCTCCCTCTCCGGAATCGAACCCTGTTTCCCCCGTTACCCATGGTAACCATGGTAGAAAGTGGCATCGATAATGTCGACAGCTACTCTGCCGAACATTCAGCAGAGTAGCTGTCGACATTATCGATGCCACTTTCTACCATGGTTACCATGGGTAATGGGGGAAACAGGGTTCGATTCCGGAGAGGGAGCCTGAGAAATGACTACCACATCCAAGGAAGGCAGCTAGCATGCAAATTACCCACTCCCGATACGGGGAGGTAGGGATGACAAATAACAATACAGGACTCTTTAGCCTGCACAGACGCTACAGTGAATGTCACATCCTGTTCCAAGTTACGGATCAGTCTGATGATGGCTTCCGGTAACCAGTACTCTTTTTACTGAGGCTGCATCAGGGTCCTGGTATGTGGCCACACAAACGCTGGTGCTCAACACCAGGGGGCGTTCGGTTACCCTGCTAATCCATTCCACACTGTGACTCCTAACTTCAACATCAGCATACAGGGTTCCGGTCATCCGACCGCCGCCCAGACAGTGTCTGGGTCCCAGTCACCGGACTGCTGCCCTCAATGTGAAACTTCGAATGGCTCTTTAAATCTGGTACGACCCCGTTCGCTCAACTCTATTAAGGATCCTTTGATCATTCCATCTGTTACTCGGATAACTTTGGTAATTCTCGAGCTAATACATGCCAACGAGCGCTAGGGGACGGCCACTCCGCTTTGATGTGCTGGTACCTCTGTGCGACCAGCGCCTCTTCCTCCAAACTGCACATATCACTCTCATGACCTTGATTTCATGTGGGGTCTAGGACCTCATCATCCTCCACATCATCTTCCACCCACTCCTCAACCCTGCCCTTCTTGCCAGTCTGCACACTGCAGAAAGCCACAGCAGTTGGCACCTGTGTTTTTCCAGCATGTAAACTCTGCAAAGGACATATGGGAATTGTTTTAGAATTGTATCCAGGCAACAGTTTCCCTATAAGAAAAAAAGTTACATGCGCTCTTTCCACATCCCTATGTATTTTTAAATAAATGGAGGTTTTTAGTTACCTCCAATGGCCATGAGACGGTATGCCCACCTGCCACGTCAAGGCAGACCTCTTAGGTGGGTCCTAGCTCTAACCATTGTTTAAAAATACATAGGGATGTAAAAAGAGAGTAGGTAACTTTTTTCTTTGGTTTTTACTATATGTATTTTAGCTGATGTGTACTATAGTCATTGCTGCTATCCAGGAGTAATGGGGGTTTGAGCGCAGGACTAGTTTCTTTGTATTTGTATTTACTTTTGTATCATACAGCTAGGTTGCAAAGCTGCTGCCCATCCCATGTGTTCCCTATTAACCCCTTAAGGACGGGTGACGGACGAGGTCCGTCACAGAGGGGAGACCTTTAATGACGAGTGACAGACCTCGTCACGCAGTAAAATTAACCCCGGATCGCCGCTATCGCGGCAATCGCGGGGTTAATGGTGCTCCGGTATGCCTCTGCATTAGAGGCATACCGGGAGCACCCGATCAGGCTGCCCAGCACATGTGCTCGCTCTGACCGCAAGTCAGAGCGAGCACATGTGCTCAGTGTACTTACCTTCCGCCTCCCTGCACTTCCTGGTTCTGTGTGAAGTGCCGGAATAGTGCTGATCCTGCCCCCTGCTGTAAAAAAAGTCCCACCCCCCCTTTACCCATTTTAATAAAAAATTAACCCCTTCCCTGCCAATTGATCACTGACTACAGTGATCAATTGGCAGGGATTACATTTTACTATGATCTGATTTTTTTTTTAATTAGTTAAATAAATTTAACCTCTGAGGGTTAAAAAAAAAAAGAATTAACCCTCAGGGGTTAAATTTATTTAACTAATTAATTCAAATATTTTAAAATTATATATTTAGCTAGCTGGGGTGGGTGGAAGTTAGTGGGGAATTGGGGGATTTGGCATTAGGCTAACTAGGGGTTAATGTTAAAAAAAGTTTTAAAATAAACTTTAAAAAGTTTAAAATTAAGCTTAAAAAAGCTTAAAAAAAGTTTTAATAACGTTTAAGTAAAAAATAAAAAAGCACCCCCCTTTACATAGTCCAAATAAAAATTAACCCCTTCCCTGCCAGTTGATCACTGCCTACAGCGATCAAATACAGATCACAGTATTATACCGTGATCTAAATTTTTTTTAACCGCTGAGGATTAACTTTTATTTATTTTTTAACCCTCAGGGGTTCAATTTATTTAATTAATTAATTTAAATATTTTATAACTATATATTTTGCTACCTGGGGTGGGTGGGAGTTATGGGAAAATGGGGAATTTACTGTTAGTGCTGCTTAATGCTAGTTAGGGGTTAAAGGTAAAAAAAAAAAGCTTAGAAAAATGTTAAATCTGTAAAAAAGTTTTAAGAAAATTTAGGAAAGTTTAAAAAAATTAATAAGCAAAACAAAAGTTTAAAAACTAGTTTTTAAAAGTAAAAAAGTAAAAAAAGTAAAAAAATACATTTTAAAAACGCTCATTACCACTACACCTGGAACAAACTAGAGAAAAAATTATCCCACGCCAAGGTTCAAAATATGCCTTTTGAATTACCCTAGAGTGTATTCTTTAATAAATAGTATGTGTTTGTGGGGAAGTTTCAATAACCAACCGTCTAAACTACTCCAAATTGGAACATGGACACAGCGTAAAACTTCAGTTAGAAAAAAACTGAATGGCTGCGTCTCAAATGCGCATCCACATATACCTGGCAAAGGTACATACGGGGGTATTGCTGTACTCAGCCGACATAGCTGAGCAACATATGAAGTATTATACAGTCATAGCACACATAAGGTTTGCAAAATATGCTGCACAAACTCACTTTGTATGGCAAAAAGGCAGAAAAAATGCTTATTACCACTACACTTAGTACAAGCTAGCGGAAAAATGATCCCACGCTAAGGTTCAAAATATGACTTTTGAAATACCCTGGGATGTCTTCTTTAAGAAATGGTATGGCTTTATGGGGTATTTGGATTATATAGCCTGGTAAAATACTCTAAAATGGGACATAGACACAGCATAAAAATTCAAAGTTTGAAAAAAACTGAAATGGCTGTGTCCCAAATGTGCCCCTCCGATGTCCACACATACCTGGCAAAGGTACATACGGGGGTATTGCTGTACTCAGCCGACATAGCTGAGCAACATATGAAGTATTATACAGTTGTAGCACACATAAGGTTTGCAAAATATACTGTACAAACTCACTTTGTATGTCAAAAAGGCAGAAAAAACGCTCATTACCACTACATCTGGTACAAGCTAGCGGAAAAATGATCCCACGCTAAGGTTCAAAATATACCTTTGGAAACACCCTGGGTAGTGACGTTGACATGTGGGTGATGGCACACAGAGGACGCGCGCGCAAGTTTTGGGGTCAAAGGCTGGATACAGCCAGTCGGATTCACAAGAGGGATATTTAAACTCACTCATTTTTTCCACTCATTGCCCTGTCGTGGTTTCCCTTTGCTGCTTATCTGAGTGTGTTCCTGATCGTGTTTCTTTGGTTGGGCAGAATGGAGAGTACAAGCGCTTATTTATGTAATTTTATATCCTAGTATATACCAATATTTCTGTGAGCTGCTATATCACCGTGCTTATCTTTCTATCAGAAATTGTGGAGAGAAGAAGTATCAGGTGTAGCTCTCTAATTGCCTATAGTAGATATGTAGCCGTATAAAGGAAATATTTATGATATACCTTTCAGGGATCGTATATACTTATATGTTGTCCCAATACTTCCAAATAAACCTTAAATACAAAACACAAATATACAAAACATAGTGTAACCTGTATATAAATATATAGTAAATGAAGAGATATAAATTTCTGACTCACACTTTTCTGAGCTAAAACACTAGCTCAGGTATATGCACCTTAGGGTCCGTTAAGGCAACCCTCACCCTCCTTTGGATCTCAATTTCTCCAGGGGTTATGTCCTAGATGATAGGTATAGGAGGGAAAAAAATATATAGCTTAGTACAATCGATATACTGGGTATATATTATGAGGTAGCACGTATGTACTCACAAACCCAGAGCCAGTTGGTCGGCTCACTTCATAAAGCAGGTGGAAATGAAAGCCGTAAGTGTAAAAATATAATTTATTATAAATAAAAGAAAAAAAATATATATATATTAACAATATAGTATTAAAAATATATATAAAATAATATCAATATAAATTACACTTATTCGGCTATAGTCCAATTGGTAGTTCCATGTGCTCACTGTTCCTCCCAGACGCGTTTCACTAATAGGCTTCCTCAGCTGGAAAAATTCTGTGTGATCTCTAAGGACTCCTTCCTGCTTTAAATACCCTGTTGATTGTAGCATCTCCGTGTTTAGGCTCTTGATTTTCACGGGCAATCTCCATGGGAATGGAGATGCCCTGTGGTTCAAGCCTCCTGTTCGTCTATTTACTTCCGTGTATGCGCAAATGCATACTTCAGGTTTCGGCACTGTCGGCGTTATGCGTTCCACGGTGCGTTCCACAGTGCGTTCCATAATTTATTACAGTCTCTCTAAGTCCTTTGTTATGTTGAGTGGTGGATTACTCACAACACACATTATAGATACATAAATATAATCATATTAAATTACTTCAATCTTATAAGAAAGAATATATACATCAAAACTATTTAAAACTATACATACATATTCAATTTGTGCAGCAAATAAGTTGTATTAAATACTTATTGAAATACAATAGTAGATCATTCTACAATATCTCTTTTGGAGGAGGGATAATTATAGTCCAAAAGGTGGGAGAAAAAAAATATATTTAAATGGATAAAAGGGAATGTTGAAAACGAAAATTCCAAGGTGAAAAAGTGGACCCCAACAATAGAAGTAAGTCCTTTAAAGTAAGGATAAATCTTATCCAAAATATAAAAAATCTAACCAAGATACTTGTATATAAAAAAGAAGGGTCTGTAAGGGGATACATAAAAAACTATATAAAAACTATATTAAAAAATAAATAAAAAAAGAGAATAAAAAAGAATAAAAAAGGGGGGGAGGGAGAAGATGGAAATAGTCAATTAGCTTAAGCAATAGCACATTTCGAAGTCTGAATTTAATCCATTTGGAATCAGACTTTTTAATCTAAATATCCATTTCATTTCAATTTTGCTTAATTTTAGATTGAAGTTACCTCCCCTCCAATCTTTGGATACTTTGTTAATTCCCAAAAAAATGGTACCATTTATTTCACAATTATGGTGAGTTTTGTAATGTAA